CAGCACTTCCCACAGTTCAGTCTTTGCTTCTCAGGTGTTTCCAGGAGTTCTCTCAGGTGGGAAGGGAGGCCCCCTAGATGATCAAAGAATCATAGGACTGGAAGGGATCTCGAGAGGTCATCAACTCCAGTCCCCTGCACTCATGGCAGGACCAGTATCATCTAGACCATCCCTGACAGGTGTTAGTCCAACCTGCTCTTAAAAATCCTCAATGATGGAGATTCCACCACCTCCCTAGGCAATTTATTCCAGTGCTTAGCCACCCTGACAGTTAGGAAGTTTTTCCTAATGTCCAACCTAAACCGCCCTTGCTGCAATTTAAGCCCAATGCTTCTTCTCCTGTCCTCAGAGGTGAAGGATAGTATTTTTTCTCCGTCCTCCTTGTGATAACCCTTTGGGTACTTGAAAACTGTTATCATGTCCCCTCTCAGTCTTCTCTTTTCCAAACCAAACAAACCCAATTCTTTCAGCCTTCCTTCATAGGTCATGTTTTCTAGACCTTTGATCATTTTTGTTGCTCTTATCTGGACCTTCTCCAATTTGTTCTCATCTCTCCTGAAATGTGGCGCCCAGAACTGGACACAACACTCCAGTTGAGGCCTAAGCAGCGTGGAGTAGAGCGGAATAATTACTTCTCATGTCTTGCTTTCAACACTCCTGCTAATACATCCCAGAATGATGTTCGCTTTTTTTTTTTTGCAACAGCGTTACACTGTTGACTCATTTTTAGCTTGTGGTCCAGTATGACCACTAGATCCCTTTCTGTAGTACTCCTTCCTAGGCAGTCATTTCCCATTTTGTATGTGTGCAATTGATTGTTCCTTCCTAAGTGGAGTACTTTGCATTTATCCTTACTGAATTTCATCCTATTTACCTCAGACTATTTCTCCAGTTTGTCCAGATCATTTTGAATTTTAATCCTATCCTCCAAAGCACTTGCAACCCTCCCAGCTTGGTATCATCCACAAACTTAATAAGTGTACTCTCTATGCCATACTCTAAATCATTGCTGAAGATATTGAACAGAACCGGACCCAGAACTGATCCCTGCGGGACCCCACTCATTATGCCCTTCCAGCATGACTGTGAACCATTGATAACTACTCTCTGGGAATGGTTATCCAACCAGTTATGCACCCACCTTATAATAGCTCCATCTAGGTTGTATTTCCCTAGTTTGTTTATGAGAAGGTCATTCGAGACTGTATCAAAAGCCTTACTAAAGTCAAGATATACCACATCTACCGCTTCCCCCTATCCACAAGGCTTGTTACCCTGTCAAAGAAAGCTATCAGGTTGGTTTGACATGATTTGTTCTTGAAAAATCCATGCTGACTGTTACTTATCACCTTATTAGCTTCTAGGTGTTTGCAAATTGATTCCTTAATTATTTGCTCCATTATCTTACCTGGTACAGAAGTTAAGTTGACTGATGTGTAATTGCCTGGATTGCCCTTATTTCCCTTTTTATAGATAAGCACTATATGTGCTCTTTTCCAGTCTTCTGGAATCGCCCCTGTTTTCCATGACTTTTCAAAGATAATAGCTAATGTCTCAGATATCTCCTCAGTCAGTTCCTTGAGTATTCTAGGATGCATTTCCTCGGGCCCTGGTGACTTGAAGACATCTAACTTGTCCAAGTAATTTTTAACTTGTTCTTTCCCTATTTCAGCATCTGAACCTACCACATTTTCACTGGCATTCCCTATATTAGGCATCCAAACGCCACCAACCTTCTTGGTGAAAACCGAAACAAAGAAGTCATTAAGCACCTCTGCCATTTCCACATTTTCTGTTATTGTTTTTCCCTCTTCATTCAAAGCTATATAAGGTGGGATTTCACACTCCACCTTATATAGCTTTAATATATGTCAGGAACCCTTTGTTTCAAATTCCATTCCCAGCCCAGTTTGCTGAAAAATACAGGTACCCAAAATAGAGTTCAGTGTCATGTGATCTGGTCACATGCCCTTGCTGAGTCATGGCAGCCATTATTTACAGGCTTGCTGAAACCTTAACAGGAAGGCTAAGCTCTTACATTCAAATTGTCTTTGCTGATGGGCCATCAGCACTGTCGAGCTTCTCCATTGTTGTATTTGAAAGGCTAGCTGTGGGTGTTACACAGAGTAAGCACATATGAAATACAGGTACATAATCAATATTCATAACTTCAGATACAAAACGACACATGCCCAAAAAATAATCACATTCAGCAAATCCTGACTTTTCCAATAACTCCTAATATGACTCATCTTGTACAAATTGCATCATAATTATGTCATAATCATGCCCCCATGATGAATAGGGGGTGTCGTGTCACAACCCCAACAAAGAATTCTAATAGATTGGTGAGGCGTGATTTTCCTTTACAAAAGCCATGTTGACTCTTCCCCAACATATTGTACTCATCTATTTTTCAGATAATTCTGTTCTTTACTATAGCTTCATCCAATGTTCCTGGTACTGAATTCAGACTTACCGTCTTGTATTGCCAGGATTGGCTCTGGAGCAAGGGCACCAGAGCTCTCCCAAAAGTGGGAGGCCCTGGGGCCCCTGCCTCTTGAGGCCCTGCCCCCTGAGGTCCTACCCCAACCCCTCCCCCGCAAGGGCCCACCCCCCTTTTCCCCTAGAGGCCCTGCTTCCAGACAAGCCAGAAGCTGGAGCAGAGCTGAGGAGCCTTCCACCCCCACCCAGAGTGAGGTAGGGCTGAGAGCAGCCCCCAACCCATGTCCTCATTCCCTGGGCCCCACACCAAGGCAGAGGGAGGCTCCCCACAGCTGCCCCTATGACCCTTACCATGCCAGGTGGTGGCTTTGAGGCTTCCCCCTGGCCAGAGTCAGGTTGGAGAGACCCACATGGTCAGATGTGGGGAGCCGGCGCAGAGTCATGGACCCTCCATCTCCACCTGCCCTGGGCCACGTGGGGAGACTGGGAGGCAGGGTGACAGGCCAGGAACTCCTCTTGGGGCCCCTGCACTATGGGCAGGTGGAGGGTCTGCACTGCTCCTCAAACTGCCTGGGCTCCCTGGCTGGGCTCCACCAGGGTGCTGGCCTGGTCGGAGGGTGGGGCCTCGGGGGGAAGAGGAGGGGAAGGAGGCAAGATCTACCCTAGTGAAAAGTGTATGTGCCACGTCCCTCCACTTTAAAAATTGGGAGGGCTCTGACCCCCTCTAGTTCTGGCACTACCGTTCTAGAGCCTCTTTTAAAAATCACCATTACATTAGCTACCCTCTGCCATTTGGTCCAGAGGCTGGTTTAAGCAATTGGTTACATACCACAGTGAGTAGCTCTGCAATTTTATATTTGAGTTCCTTCAGAATTTCCTTCTCCTTTTCCATGCCTTAGTTTCCCCATGGGTAGAGGTAGGATAATGGCACAGGGCCGTCACTGTGCAGAGGGCATTGATGGGGTGGGAGTGGAAGGGGAATAAATCTACATCTTCTCCTATGCAGCGGGAATGAAGCAACAGGGCATTGTCAAGGGCTGTATGACATCAGGAAGTTGTAAAGTTGGACCCCTCACTATGAATTTTGGGAATGGAGTGACAATGAAGCAGGGCATCGCCTGCTGTGTGGGAGACGCCTGCAGAACCACCACCGTTACAGGTACCTATCCCCAGCTCTGCCTCTCCTCCCCCATTCCCTGCACCTCCAGCTGCCTGGAACCTGCCCCAGTATAATTTCCTGAGACTGGTCCTCCCGCCCTGCAGGGGGTGCCCCATGGAATAATGCTGAGCCCCTGGCTGGGTGGGTGGAGTTTAGTGGGTGGGGCTCTAGCCTCCCACCAGGTGTGAACCCAGCTGACCCCACCCAGGGCGAGGTCCAGGGCTCCCTGCTGCAAACCTCTCCCCGGCCCCTGCTGCCCCCGGCGTCCCCAGAGCTACAGCTCCCCCTGAAGGGGGCACCCAGGGCTGAGCTGTTCAGCCCCCAGCTGCTCTCCCTGCCCCGACCCCTCCTGGGGCTCGTCCCCCGAGCTGACTGCGTTTGCTCCACTTCTTCCCAGTGCCCCCGGCCGACACCAAACCCAACGGCCGGAGCTGCCCAGCCTGCATCGCTGTGCTCTATGCTCAATGCAATGAAGAGATCATATATTGTACTGGAGCTGAGACCCGATGCATTGAGGTTGCTGGGACTGTAACAATGGGTAACTTCCCTTCATTTATTTTTGGGTTATTTTTCCTTTGTTGTTCACAGTTCAAGGAAACTGCACCTGTGTTCCCCTGCCAGGGTTCCTCAGGGCTCCCACGCTGGGCTCCTGGCTCCTCCGCACTCACTTCCCTTGGGGGGACACCTGTGTCTTTAACCCTGCTGACCAGCGGTGTAGCGAGGCGAGACTCCTGCTGGTTACACCTGGGAATTAGCTCAGTTCCAGCTCTGGGGCACCCTCCACTGGCCGGTGCCTCTCCTGCCGTCGCCTGCTTCTTCCAAATCCCCACCGTGCTTCACTTCAGGCCCCGCGTCCCTTCCTATCCATGGTGTCCCTTCTCTTGGGTACTTCCCCGCAGCATTGCCCCACACTCAGGGGTCCGCCCCTCTCTGGGGAACCCCAATTCCCTAAGCCCACCTCACCTCAGTGACCCACTGCCAGTCTTCATCTCGCCCCTTCCCTCAGGGGCAAACCAGTCTGAAATGGCCATTCATCATCAGTCAGGGGGCTGGACCAGCTGCCTTTTCCTACCCCGGGCTGCCCCTCTGCAGCCCTAGTACCTTCTTGAGACCTTGGAGGCAAGGCCTCGGCCTGGGAGTCTGCCAGGTTGGAGCTGCCTAGCTCCTCCTGCCCTTCCCCAGCACTGCTCTGTCCCAGGTGCCCCTTCTGCTAGCAGACAGCCAGTCCTTCCCTCTCTAAGGCTGGAGAGAGACTGACTGTCTTCTGGCCCTGCAGCCTTTTATAGGGCCCAACCTGGCCCTGATTGGCTGCCTCCAGGCCCTCTCCAATTGGCTCCCAGCCGCAGCTCTCCCTAAGGGCTGCTTTTAACCCCTTCTTTCCCTGAGCGGGGTGACCGCCCCACTACAGGGGAGTTCTTTAAGGCTACACAGTCCCCTGCCAACACTGTGATAGCCCCAGCAAGCCAGACTGCCTAACGGGCCAGCAGTGCAACAGTGTCATGGCCCACAGCTGTGAGCTACCCCACAGTGCTTCCTAAGCAAGCACCTTCATGCTGAAGGAGAGAGCATTGCAGAGAAACCAATGATTGAAAACAATGAAAGGACCTGTAAGCTGGAAACTTTCCCTGAAGTCACCCCACCTCCAGCCTTGGGCTCTGCTAGGGTCAATCCCAACGATTGGGGTTTCATTGTTGTTACAAGTTAATAACAGTCTCAGAGCTCTGATGACTAGCTCAGTCGTTCCTTCCTACAACTTGGACCTTTCGTCTTGGCCTCATGTCCCAGGGGATCAGCAGACAAAGGTGCCCCCTTCCCAGTGTAGCTTTGCAGAGCTGTTTCTGGAGTAACCAGGGCTGGGGAATGTGCATTAACCTCACCCTAGAGATTCCCCGGGGAAAACCACTTACCACTTCTTGTTCCCAGAGTCCATTCCTGGCTGGCACATGGTTCAGTTCAGGCCTTTGGACCCCAGGTTTCACATCTGTCCCAAACTCCTACCCTAGGACAGGAGGCTGCGGGGTCTGCTGGGTAAAGATATCAGCTGGACATCAGGACACCTGGGTCCTATTTCCAGTGCCATCTCCTCTGTGAGGTTGGTCCAGTTGCTTCCCCTTTCTTTGTCTCTGCTTCCATGCCCACCTTTTGCCCACTTAGAGTTTAATCTGTAAACTCTTTGTGGTAGGGCATGTCTGAGTATTGGGATCATAGAATCGCAGAATATCCGGGTTGGAAGGGACCTCAGGAGGTCATCTAGTCCAACCCCCTGCTCAAAGCAGGACCAATCCCCAACTAAATCATCCCAGCCAGGGCTTTGTCAAGCCTGACCTTAAAAACCTCCAAGGAAGAAGATTCCACCACCTCCCTCCGTAACCCATTCCAGTTCTTCACCACCTTCCTAGTGAAAAAGTTTTTCCTAATATCCAATCTAAACCTCCGTCACTGCAACTTGAGACAGTTACTCCTTGTTCTGTCATCTGCTATCACTGAGAACAGTCTAGATCCATCCTCTTTGGAACCCCCTTTCAGGTAGTTGAAAGCAGCTATCAAATCCCCCCTCATTCTTCTCTTCTGGAGACTAAACAATCCCAGTTCCCTCAGCCTCTTCTCATAACTCATGTGCTCCAGACCCCTAATCATTTTTGTTGCCCTCTGCTGGACTCTTTCCAATTTTTCCACATCCTTCTTGTAGTGTGGGGCCCAAAACTGGACACAGTACTACAGATGAGGCCTCACCATGATCACGTCCCTCGATCTGCTGGCAATGCCCCTACTTATACAGCCCAAAATGCCGTTAGCCTTCTTGGCAACAAGGGCACACTGTTGACTCATATCCAGCTTCTCGTCTACTGTAACCCCTAGGTCCTTTTCTGCAGAACTGCTGCCTAGCAATTCTGTTCCCATTCTGTAGCAGTGCATCCCCTGGGGCCAGGTGCTGCACAGACCCAGACAGAAATGGGAGACCCTTGTTGTGCCAGGCACTGAACAAGTTCATAGTGGCAGTTCTTGAGTCAAAGAGCTTGCAATCCAAACAGGCAGAAGAAGCATTTTACCCATTTCACAGATGGTGAAACTGAGGCACAGAGACACAAGGAGACGTGCCTAAGGTCACACAGGAAGACTGTGGCAGAGCTGGGAACTGAACCTAGATTGCAGAGTCCCATCATGGTGCCACAAAAACCTCTTAGAGATCCCACTGCTAACACCAACAGTGAGCTGCTGCTTTGCTAAGTGAATGTTGTGGCTAATAGGCCTGCTCCGATCCAGGGCTAGACAGGCTGTGGAGAGCAGAGGAGATGGGGAGATGGAGGCTGTGAGAGACCTGGAATGAGCTCTGAGGAGCAGAGGAGAGGCAGGAGGGGCAACTGTGTCCCAAACCTGTCAAGGGGTGGATTTGCTCCCTGACACTCATCACCTGCTTTTCCTTCCCACACAGGTGGAACAGCCACATCGATGACCATGAAGGGCTGCGCTACTGAGGCTGTCTGTGCACATATAACAGACGCTTCGGGGTCCTTTGCAGGGGTCAGTACGGATCTAACTCTCAAATGCAAAGCACCTGGCACAGCACGGGGCCCAGTTGGGTTCCTCATCCCAGCCCTCGCTGGGCTCCTCCTCATGCAGTTCCTCTCCTGATCCCCCACCCATGCAATGGCCGTACCACACTCAATAACACCCTTTCTGCTTGTGTCTGCCCCTCTCTGCAGCCACTGTCCCCTTCCAGGGGCTCTGGGCTGCCAGCCGGATTTGCTTCCCCTTTATTTTGTTGCACTGAATAAAACAAACCAGAGACCAAGTTCTTTGGAGATTTTTAAATTTATTTTGATGGGGGAAATTTTAATTCTAGTGGGTGGGCCTGCTTAGTCTTACAGTGACCCCCTAGGGGTGAAATCAGGCAGCACAATTCTCGATAACGCATCTTTTTATATCTAGGGTTCGCTGAATTTTATTTTTACCTTTTTTTATTTCAATGGATAATAGAAATCATTATTTTTTAGCATTTTTTTCTATTTTTATCCATTTAAATTTTCACAGTTGTGGGAAATAACGGAGGGCCATAATGATGTAATGGCAGAAGATGCTGAGATTCAAAAAGTTAAAGTTTTCTAACTGTTAAAGCACAAATTGTCAACATGACCTGTCAGAATATGCAAAGCAAAGAGCCTAAAATCAAACTCTAATAAATTCTCAACCAGCATTTTTCTTACTAAGCCTATTGGAAAATTTTGTGATTTTGATGCAAATATCTATTCATTGGGTTGGGTGTGTCTGGTGAAATCGACGTTGATTAATGTTTACTGATGAAAATCTTATCCTTCCAAGTCTATTTACATCCATCACAACAAACATCTACCTCTTCTGCCAGTGGCAGCACCCCTAGAGCAGGTGAACATAAATTACGGGCCACTTTGGAAACTGTCGGCCAAGGTCTGCGAGGGAGGTTTTGTAACAGAGCTGGGAACAGAGCCCTGAGTCTGGGAGGTGCAGGTTTGATTTCCTACCCTGAGAAATAGTCTCAGGCCATCTGCAACCAGCTCCCGTCGAAATGCAGCCACTGCTGTCACTGGCTCAAATTTTTCCAACAAAAACTTTTGATGTTGAAAATGAAAAACTCAGTTCTTGGAGGGACATTTCCTTCTTTCTCCTTCGTTTTCCTCCAGAAAGGGAGGAATTCTGCCAGGGTGTTACAGAGCCCTGTTGAATTAGATAGGAAAAGCAACTGCAGATGAGGCGAAGCGAGGCGTTTCAGTGCACACACCACAGCAGAGCGTTGCGTAGTGGGCTGAGTCGAGCGTACACAAAAAAGCAATAGCGCTGTTTTGTTGGGAGTAACCTCCTGATGGAAAGGTTTGGCAGGACCAGAACTACCACAGAAGTTAAAGGTTTTTTTTCATAACAGCAACTGCCTTTGTGTGTCCAGCACCACTTTGACTGAGGCAGGTATAACACTTCTGCTGTAGCCCATAAGGCCTAGAATAGATTTTAAGGCAGATACGCGGACAGGCAAAGGTGAATGCAAATGTAGGTCTCCCTGCTGTTGAGATGGTGTCTGTTTGTCTCTAGACAAGGTAATTTCTAAAATGAAACTGAGTGAGCAGACGCGCCTTGGCTGGGTGACATTTCAGATCAGCCTCTTGTGGCAGCTTCATCAGCTTATTTAGAGCTCGAAGCGCTCCTCTGAAGTACCCATGGCCAGGTACAAGTTATTATCATACAGGGGGTAGGCTAGACAATAACAGTGCCCATTTCACTCGCCCATGGAAGAGGGAAGAGTGATTGTGAAACTCTTTCTGGCAGACAGGTTTGCGGATGATATTGTTGCAAGAGGAAGCAGCAAAATAATTATGTGACACACACAAACATATAACACATGTATAGGACAAGACAAATGTTGCTCCACTTACAGGACAAATGAATGAAAACAATGCATGCTAGAAAACAAACAAAAAATAAAACAATTGATTAGGCAGGTGACCCTTTATTTAAATCTTTCAATCAAAGTTCATTCATTTTTATATTAATTCCTTTGCCCCTTTAATTGTACTAATTTAATTGACAATGCAATTTAGATTGCTCTTACCTTGTGAGTACTGCTATATAGAAAAAGGGATGAGAGTTTAATAGTTATGCGAGGATTTAAAAAAAACAATAGTTACCGTTTTGCTGCTTGAAAGTCATTCTATATTTTATTGCTTGAAAAGCATATTACATGTTTGACCTTAGGATTTTAAAAGAGTTAAAATCATTAGTTTTACTGGACTTACTTAAGCACTTTTATTTTTAGCATTTTGGTACTTTGTTAATTATTATTTTATTTTATTTTTATTTGCACCTGATTTCTTATTTTGGATGACACTGTATTTTTACAAATGAAGCATTGTGGTTTTACAGGGCTGAGTGCCACACAATAGGTGTTACCATTCACATCAAATGATTTATTCTCTCCTCCCCTTCCTCTTTAACTCTTTGCAAAACCAGACCTATGAGCTTTTCTTTAAAAACAGAGGAAGTGGGGAAAGCCGGGGTTGAGACAAGAGAAGCCTTTGCAAACAAAACACACATTCCCCAAATCTAAAAGTTAGTCAAATTAACACAGGTGGGTTTTTTTCTGTATTTGAAATAACAAAATAAAGCAGTAACAGTTCTGTAGGCTGTATCATGCTACAGAGGAAAGAACTTGAAGGATTCCCTCTTCCCCGTCCTTACACAAAAATACTGTAAGGTGAGAGAAATCATGTAAGACCATAGGAATAGATAAGCCAAGTGGGTACTCATTAAAGAAGTTTAGAAAGGCAGGAATTTGTCTGAGCATTTCCAAAACCCACAGAAGTAAATCAGCCAGCAAGGTGAGCGGAGAGGGAACAGATGCATAAACTGTAGCTACAAATAAGTTTAAGAGAAAGAAAAAAACATCAGAGGTGGGGGAAGACGGGATTGGAGACTGTGTTCTGAACAATCTGACCTGTCCCTTCTCTTTAGCTTGCCAACAGCTCTGTGCATGAAACTCTCCCACTCCTGCACAGGACAAGACACGGTGGTATTTCATTTACTCACACCCTCTCTTTGTTGCTTTAATTCTCTAATTTGCTCCTTTAATCTCCATCTGGCTGTTGCATGATTTACTGTGATTTCCTGCCTGCTAGCAAGAGCCTGGTTTTGGCCGTTTGCCTTTGTATCTTTGTTCTCGCGTTGTGCTGTACACAGAGATCCGGCACAAAGTTACTGTTACACTTTGCCACCTGCACAAATGAAAGCGTCTCCTGATTCGTTATGTGCTTTTTATCTTTTCCCTCTGCATCCTTTTTAACCCATTGACAAACAGATTTCCAAGGGTTGCTTTTATTCATTGCTCGTTATGCAGACAGAGGAGTTCCTTCATTAATAACATTGTTTATTATACAATCCTTTAGTATTTTCCCATTGCCGGACAACATTTTTAAGACTTTCTGATTGTTTTATGTATTCTTCCCCATTCCACCCCAATGCACCTGGCAATACGTCAGCGAGCTCTTCACTCAGGCTTCATAACAGTAGAATAAAACATGTTTATACTGATCCGAGCCTCTATTGGAAAACATACATCATTAGCCCAGGTAATCCAGGTGCAAATGATCCTGTTACTGACAATCACATCAGGGTCTCCAATTTATTGCATGTTTGAATTTGCTAATGATTGCAGATTAAAGCCTATTAGGTAAAAGTGCAATTATTAAATCAAAAATTATTAATCAAATGAATACCGTGCTACAAAGAATACAGAAAGAAGACATGCTTTACCTCACCCTCTAGATACTGAAGAGAAGGTGGTTTGGTCCCTTCCTCTGTAGGCAGTGGAATTCTGCCAGCATTCATCCCAAATGACCTTTCCAACTCTTTCCCTTGATAGGGTTTGAGTCAAAGAAACTGCCTTTCAGAAGGAAAATTCAATGGAGTGACATGGCTGGTTTGTTATGAAAAATGTTCCCTAGACCAAGTAACCAAACTCAGCCAATTTTATTGTCGAAGACAAGCTAGGCCAATACAGAAAGGAAAGAGTTTATACTACACGATCTCTTTGGGACGCTTGTTTCTCTCAGCGTTTTCCATTCACGTTACACAGAACAGCTGGTTCAAAATACACTCCCAAAAGCACTTCTATGTGTAGCAGGGTTTCTAACAAGCGAGAAAGCCCAGACTCGCCTCCTAAGATCCTTTCCTTATCTCCATTATGGACACTGCATTTTAAGCCAGTTGCGCGTAAAGTTGGCTGTGCTGGGACATCAAACAAATGTATCTTGCTTTGACTGTTTCCTGATCCACTTATGCCAAATGCTGAGTTGTCCCAGTCCGAGGCATTGTGGGACATACCAGTGAACAGCACTGTGGAAAGACATATAATTCCATTAACATAACTACCCTCGTGCTGGGTATAACAGAATATTAATACGGTATGCCGTACGTCTAACATATATAGATTAGCTAACAGTACCCTGCTTGGTACTGTGGTTATTATTAAATAGTTAATTTAATAACGATTTAATATTATTTTACCAAACTGATCTGTGACACAGAGGTAAGAGCATTTACCTGAGACTTATACTGTTTTTGCAAACTACGGAAGTGGCACTACATAATTAATACAGGTAAAATGATCACTCCTTAAACTGGAATAGGCATTAGTAGAGGTTGACCCACAGCCTTACACACGAGGAATAACAGAAATTTGGAGTTGTGGCAGCACAAGCAAGTTTTTTATACCTGTAAGCAGAGTCAGGAGGAGCTCTACCCTGACATCTGGTGGTAAATTGTGGCGAGTTGTGCAAAAGAACTTCAGGGGCTGATCTTGTTTGCATAGGCACACCCACCCCGCCTAGCATGAGCCCACCGCAGCCAAAAATGGTCATTTTGGCTGCTGTGGGATCCCCAGTTTCTCTGTTATTGGGGCAGGAAGTTGTTACCCTGATTATGTGAATCAAGGACAGTGGAACTGTTTTATGAC